AAACGTGTCATGTTACAAATTAAGCATATTATCATTTTGTTACAATGTAATTAAACGCTTTTATTTGTTTGGATATAACCGAAATACTTTTTCTTCGCTATAATAAATAGACGCTGTTTTATATTATTAAAATTTGATTAACGTGTTGCGAATTCCACCATATATAGCGAATAATTTGATCAAATAAAACATTTCTAAGAATAATAAGATAATATTAAAAAATAGTTTAATAAATCCGTTTTATAATGGTCTCATTCATATTGTTTGTGTTTAACCCAGACGTTTGCAAACAGACAGCCATTGTTTCTTGATGTTATGAGATATCAAAGATGTTCTCATCTCGAATTGATTTACACACGATACTTCGTACTCTAATACATTTCTTAATTATTAATAGTTGTTAAAGAAGTTTAAATTGATTAAGCTTTATGATTAAAGTATGAGTTTTCGTATTTGTTTTATCCGCAAAAGTATTGATAATGATTTTAACATGTTCACTATGAATCATAGAAAAATAGTTTATAGTTCAAGATCCGTTTAATTTTTGTGGTGAAATATTCGTTGGTGATTGTTGTCATTAATATTAAAAGCACTCTACCACCTAAAGTTTGACCTAAAGCTGAATAGTCAATATGAAAATCTACTACTGATTTACAATTTCTCTACACAGAGGAGTATTAAATCTTGTCTTTACGTGATATTTTATTTTTATTTTTATTTTTTTATTTTATTTTTATTTTTATTTTTTACTCAAGTTTACTTATAATTCTAAACAATATTAGTACAATTTTACGTTATTTACAATTATCGAACAAATTAAGCGTTTCCCGTTTCTTAATATATCGAATTTTTATACAAAAATGATATGGTGATTGCCTGTTTTAAGCATACTTTAAAGTACATTACAAATAATTTCAACTTCAACGGTACTTAATTTTTGACTAAATTTCCGTATAAATAAATAAACTGTGTACACGTTCCAAGTGTTCCAAGTGTGGACGCGTGCGGCGACGTGCTGATACAACACTACGCCGCCGCGCGCGAGTGTTGTGTGTGTGTATACCTAATCTGTAGGGTGTTCATACGATGCGTAATTAATTACATAACTTTTGGTTAACTTTACTCAGAAGTTTATTAATATTATGTTATATTAATTTTTATTTTGTCATATATGATCGTCAAATATCACGTCCTCAAATATCGATAGTAATTCACCAGTCACCCTGTATATACTAAATATAGACCACTTTCAGCCATAGGTTGAAATGAAGTATTTTTTAGTGAAATATTTGGAATTATACGAAAAATTATACCTATATATTTATTAGTCTCAACAAAAAATAATCCATAAGAAATGCTCACGTCCGTTTTTTATACAAGTCTTTAATTAGTTTGGTTCTGAATCTATGGATTTACGCACTGATTCTAACGGGAATTTCACTAGTGCTTGTTCCAAAGATTTTTTAAGAGTATCAATGTAACGTCATTAAGACCGGCCATTTTCTCTAAAGCTGACCAATAATTGAAGTCATTTGAAGTAAAGTTAAGATTGAGGTCTAGACTACATGAGACCAGTTAACAGTCTTCAAAATATTGTTGTCAATCCAGGTTTAGGCAGTTCGTGCTTATTAACAAGGTGTAGAGTAGAACTCTACAATGGAAAGTCCATTATATATTTTCAAGAATAAAGTTTTAAGTATATCGCTGTCAGGTTACAATACAATCCAAGATATACTTTAGCTGTAGTTTTCACATCATTTTCACAAAAATGATGTTTTGTGGCTCCTTGATAAGACACGATCAAATATATTATCACTGATGCAAGAGGATGACAACGTCGTACCTTTTTTGACCAATTGAGTGGCTTCTATAGAACTGTGATGGTCTACCTTATTATTTTGCTTATTTAGTTTTATTTTGTCGTCAGTGAAGAGGGTATTTCATGGATATAGTGACTTAAAGCATTTTGATCAAACCTCTAAACATATAAATGATTTCCGTCAGGAATCTTCATGCCTCGCCATAAGTTTATTTGTTCCTGATGGGATTTCGGAGAATTTGGCCTTTAATAACCATTGTATTTATTACAGTCCGCAGCCGCCCCGCTTTTTTATGGTCTTCTAAAGGCGAAGTGTTATTGTATTTGTAGGTACGATGTAGGAATATAGGGCTGATACCAAGCTTTTGAAGTGCTTGGAATATGACCCAACGCTCCCTACTCACTTTGTGCAAGGCGATCACTGCAATCCCACTTTCTTAAACACCCGATTCCATACAATGATTTGATAATGAACTCAAAAAAATATGCGAAAAATATGTTCCAAATTAAAAATAATTAAAATTGAAAATCAGAAGAATTTGTATGTAACAAAATTTATGCCTGACTAGTTATATCAAAACGAAGTAAAATTGCCTCTTATTAGGTTAATTTTTTCAAATGATTATTAAATTAGAAATATTATGAAAGAATTTATTTTAAATTTTACTTAAAATGCTATATCTATTTGATTTATTTAAAATACTTACGTTGAAATCATCTTTGGTTGGGTCCAGTTTTTTTGGTCGTCTTCTTCGTATATTTTTGACATTTTTTTTCTTTAAACTCTTACTCATTATACCTAGCCTTGTATTGTAATTGTCAGTTTATGTTTTAAGTACAGCTTGTTTATATTTTATAAGGTAAACTCTGTTAATGGCTGATTTGTGAATTTCATGCTTATAAAGCTAAATTAGTAATGTATATATTAAACTCCCAGTAATATTGAAGCATAAAGTATTTCCAATCAATTTGTATAAGTATTATTGTTACTGAGATGTCAAAGATGTGTTTTTATATGAGTTTTTTGTGTTTTCATCAGTTATAATATACATAAAGTGAGCTAAAAGATAAGAATACTTGAAACATTTGTTGTAAGATTCCTTTTGTGAGATTATTTAAGAATTTCTTTCAACAACCTTCTATTGTATATAAAATAGCATTGTTTCTTTTTATATAGAGTAAATAAAAATAATATTTTAAATCTTTGAAATATTTAAACGGTAGAGAGATCGTTTTTAATATATAAATAGAAAAATAATTTTACTTTTTAGTTTTAAACATAGGTAACAGTAAAAAATAAACGTATAATGAGATAGTAAAATAAATATCAAATATTTACTTTTTTTTCATTATAGTATTAGAAATTCTTTGTAATATTCAATGTTTACAATGTATTAGATTGTTTGTATGTGTGTGTTTGTTGTAAGAATAGCAGCTAAAGTTTTGAGAAGATACGTTTTTTAAAATCAAAATACATCCAAATTCCACATAGATAAACAGAATTCGAAATAACTATGTATACGTAATTATCTTTAATATATTTCCTCAATTAAATAGTCCATTAAAATAGAACATCTAATGTCACTTCTAGAAACGAATTGATGTAAGGAACCCAAATGAGTTAATTATTCTTGGGTCCATTATTCCGCCCCCTCCTCTTTCCAATTCTATCCTAATGAGAAAATAGACTCAGTGCCCGATCCAGAATAAGTTAAAAGAAGTGTGGAAATAAATCAAGTTGAATATTTATCAACAAATTCTGGAGTGTAGTACGAAATCTGCAACGAAAACTATAAAAAAAAAAACAAAATAAAATAAATAAGAATCACTTCAAATTATATCTTATATATTAAGAAACGTAATGACTAAAATAGCTATGTATGTAATTTTGTTCACCAAAACAACATCATCTTCATCATCATTCAGTCGAAAGACGTCCACTGCAGGACATAGGCCTCCCACAAGGATCTCCACAACCGGTCTTGTGCCAAAAAATATTTTCATTTTATAAAAATATATGCAAATACATATATTTTTATTAATAATCATCATACACTCATATTATTTCTTTATGCAGCTATATTTTAAAAGAAAGATAACTGTATGGTTAATCTTAGTTTGAACTGTCCCACACCATATTAACGAAACGAAAAACATTTCGTATTTAGTTTGACAATATAAAACTTGTGGTAGGCATACTGGAAACAGCCGGTCGCTCGTCGAACAACCAATTAATTTGATTCGTACAAGACTTGTGATCTAATTGTCTGAGGTTATCGTATTTTGTTCTGATAGATTGGTTTAAAATATCAAAGTGATGACCGGCAATTTATCATCATATGTTAATTGGTATCGAAAGTATTAAAGAATTTATATATGAAATATAGATCATTTATTTTATAGTTAACGAAGCCTATTTTGTTAAACATTGTTCGTCTGTTTGTGATCACGGTTGCTGCAAATTAACTGAAACGTCGAGAGTATGCATTTTTTTTTGAATAATAAAAACGCTTGGTAATCCGAATATTATTACTTTCATATACATATTCTTATTGATTTAAGAAAAGGCGAAAACTTTTGTACAAATCAGGGTTGAATGAGTAAACGAGTGGATATGTTACGTGTAGGGTGAACTCACATATCTAACAGTGTCTAATATACTCGTAATTACCATTTGCATTATTTTGTACAATTTTTTATTTCACTGATATTTTATACATGCGATCTCGAGTCCTTAGGTCAGTAGTTTTTATTGACATAAATGAATAAGTATGGGTATATGTAAAACTTATCACAATAATATACCTAAATACGTCAACGTATTGTTAGTATTAATTCCACAATAATGTTAAGTATTTTCCTTCAAAGGACTCGTTAATTTTGTTTTCTCTTAGTGTCCCTTCGACTTCAGAGAAATTCTTTCATGAATTCCATTTCAATTCTAAAAATTTTAATCTTTTCATATATTTATCTCATATAAGTTGGTTGTAGCTCATAAAATACAAGCAATTACAAACATTGTTATATACATATTTTATAGTTTAGACATTAACGCATACATGGCGCGAAATCTAATAACATTATAACACAGATTTGTATTCTACGGGAGATATTAAACAATAATATGGAAACGCTGTTTATTTAAGGTGGTTTTTATTAACAAAAAGAAATGGTATAACGTTTATACACCATTCAAAACCGTTTTCTCATTTAGGTATGGTGAAATAACAGGTTCATCATCTAGAATACTGTGTATTACCCTCTGAATCTTCTCCACCAGAAGGCTGGATGCCAGAGCTCCGTTTATGGTCCTCTTGTGAACTTCTTCAGGACTCGGGTTGGGAAGATTGATGATCTTCAATTCATTAGCTTGGGGTGTATTTGCTGAAAGAATATATGCTAGTCACAATATTATTTGCAAGTCTTGGGCCCTTCCTAAACTTTTAGTTTATAAAGTCAGTCAAAATAAAGTATAGCTTTGTTATATTAAACACGAATTATATTATTACATGTATATCCAAAACAAGCTGAATTCTGTATATTTTAGAACAAAAGTAATGTTTGATTAAATACAACATGATTTCACGGAAATTTTAATAAAAATTAGAAATAATTGAAATTCGTCACCCAATTATAATTATTAACCTGATCTGAACCCGGTTCTGTGTTCCATGTAGCAGTAAGTGTACCCGATGAAAATTCCAGCTGCGATTGCTGAGAAGATCATGATGAGAAGTGCAGCAGTGAACACCATGCACACCATCCATCTTGGCTTACTTTAAATACATATATAAATAGCATTTATCGTATTTCTTGAATTAATTGTAAGATTATTGCGTTTAAAGCTCGTTAGATAGTGCTCCATAAACCTACAACTAGGTTGCAAGTCCCAATTACTGTTGAAGCTCCTCTCCCTACAACGATGGACCCGGCACCCCCACGGTGAATACATAGAATGCTAAGAGGTTTCGTCTCATAGAATAGTTAAGTTTTGTTGTTTTGTAAGTACTGTATTGTATTTAAACAGATTAGGATAGTGTAATCCGTCGACGATTCAGTGGCGTGAGTGGGTTGGGTATTACTAGAGATATTTTAAGACAAAGAGCGTGATAGCATCTAAACTATTTTCAGTTCCCTGTACTAATCTTTCTTAAGTTCTTAATTTTTCTTAAATCACATTTTCCCACCCATGAGAGTTGTCTATGAGGTATAATGACTCTTTATTTATTACTGTACAATAAAAATGTATGCTTAGAGGCGTTGGAATAAAAACTCGTCGTTTTAACGATTTGAACTATAATGTATATACAGGGGCGTCCATAAAGTCATTTAGATTAATGTTAAAGGCTAGAATCTAGACTTTTGATAAATTGGGTTAGTAATAGAGCAAGTATTTAGCGATTGTATACTATAATTCAGGAATATTATTACGATAAATTATTTTATTCACAAACTAGGGATAATTATTATGAAGAGTGACATTTTTTTCTACTGAATAATTTGTTTTAATCTTATTTGGTCATAAATGCCACAGGTACCAAAAACAAACATTGAATACAAAAGAGTTATAAATTTTAATTAAACTTGACTCACTTTTTCAGTGATTCTGGTAGATTATCCGGCTGTAATATTCTATATCCCGTCATATCTTCTGTAAAACAATAAAAAATAAGTTATAAAAAAGTGATGTTTTAACAAAATTTGACAATTTAATTTTTTTTTGTGTGATAAGTATTTTTTTGAATGAAACATGAAATAGATTAAATTCACTAAATTATTACGATCTCTTTTAACAGTGGACTTAAAATTAAATTAATTATATGATTTTTATTCCATGTTTATATATTTTTCTATGGGATGATTAAAATGCTTTTTGTAATTCACATTGAAAAAAATTGTACTTATTCCATTTTATGTAAAAATAATATTTCTTGATACAAAGTATCGTTAAAAAATTACTTTATTATATTTTATTTCGCTAAAAGTATATCTGTTAATAAATATTCCACTACTAATATTTTCTCATCAAGATTTCTACAACGAGTCATCTACGCTGTCCGAAATTCTAACAAATCAGCAGTTATCTTGTTATTCTCAATATTTTTATACTTGGGAATTATTTCGTCCATTTCTATCTACTTGGCATTCATGAGAGTGTCTGATAGTAAAGCACTCTCTTATAAATTATATCGCTAATAATGAATTCTAGACACAAGATAGTAAACGAAGTTCACTCTACGTATAATAAATAATTTTACGGTTTTAATATAAAAATTATCAGGTAGACAGAGTAAAAGGAATGGATTTTTTTTTTTTTTTTTGGGAAAATGAGATCTTTCCATTTTAACTACGCGATTACTGGTATACCAAAATCTTAATTACTTAATAGAAATATTAATAGAATATCAATTAATAGAAACAATGCATCGTTTTTAGTTAAAATCGAAATATTCCTTTTTTTTTTGGGATCTACATATTTAGCTTAATGAAAAGATTTATCTAATCTCAATATATTAATAAAAAAGTGAGTTTCTATTGTTTCATATTTATGTTAAAACTGAAAGTATCTGGAAGTTATATGGAGACGAGATGATGAAGAGCAAAAAGAGGTTCAGGCTCAAATCAATTTTTAAAGATTGGGTACAAAATCACTTCTCAGCAGTCTGTGTTTTTTATTATGTATGTACACATCAAAAACAAATCAACGAATCGAGATAGGAGTTGTATAAAACTTTCTGACCGTCCACACCTCATCAACGCATTACATGAAAATTTTAATGTATAAATGTTAATAATATATTAATGACCTTTTGACTAGCTTAAAAGAGGCGTGTGTTGTTATCACTTATTAAAATTCATTTAGAGTTATGAAACATAAATGTTAATATTTATATGAAATACATAATTATAATTAAATCCTCTTTGATATGAATATAAAGTACGTTTATGTTTACTATATTTAGGATTATATATATATATATATATATATATATATATATATATATATATATATATATATATATATATATATATATATATATATACTAGATGCTGCTCATAGTAACTAGTTATGATGTACATACCTACTCTTAGAGATGTAGGTAGATGAAGAGGAGTGTTATGCAGTCTGCTTACTATTGTAAAGACGATCCTGGTTTACACATAAACAGTTACCTATTCACTATTTTAAATCGTGTTATTTGTATGATTTCTTTTATATTTAAGCCCATCAAATACCTAATATGTATATTTTACTTTTCCTTGTTGGTTGTCTGGAAAAGATCACTGGTTACCAATAAGAGCGCGAAGATTGTACATTTTTTTGTAATACAATTCTAGTAGTTGTTCATTTAAAGGTATGCAATAAAGAAAATATTATTAATATAACGCATTATATTGACGCATTATATTATTAATATAATGCGTTAATATAATGCGTGTCTCGTTTTAGTCAATCTATGAGTATGCCTCTAAGCATACTCATATTTTTTGTTATATTTTCTATGTATATGTCTTTTAGAGTAGGTATATATTAAGGAACTTGAAAAGACATTTTCCCTTCATCTGAATAGTTTTTATATAAATCTGTCTTACTTTATAGACAGCAAAGCTTTTTTTCTTAATCTATGATGTTATTATGAATATGACATTCATCTTGAAAGATATGATTTTTATATCTGATTTATTTTGATATACATTTTTTATATGTTTTTCATAGATCTCATATAAAAGCAATGTGTCTTTGTCGCAGAGTAGCATATTGTTTGGGAAATATAACCTATATATTTGAAAGGTAAAATTTAATTTGTTTAATTTTAACCTGCTTATTGTTATTAGATGCTGTACATCCTTATTATCTCATCAATAATTATTGACGAGATTTTAAGAAAAATAAATTATTTGATCATTAAACATTTAGTGAGTTTGAATGGATACATACACATTTGGAAATATTCCAGCTTCATGCTTTAAAAATTGCATAAAGATATTACACTAACATTTAAGTATATATCACTATAATATATAAACTTCTAAAGTATAAGGATATAATACGTACAATATATGTAGATAAGTTCTACTTTAGGTTATATTTATTATTTTCTATCATTCATTATTCTCTTGAGATATATTAGTTGATATTGTTACTTTCATAATAACTATGAAACAGTTTAGGCGTAAGGTTTACTTAGTACTTATTTTGAAAGCTACATAGAGATGGTAAACGGCTTAGCTTCATCTTTTTTAAAGTTATAAAAATTGTTTAAAATTATCTTTAAAGAAAATTTACCCAACTATATCGTCCATAATTATAACGATACCTAAGACTTTTGTTCGAATATCTATTTGAATGAAACTAATATTTTCGGATTTATTATGCTTTTTTTATTATTTAAAGTACATACTCCCGACGTTATGATTACTTTACAGCGACTGTGATCATTTGCAGATGAGATGAGAAAGTCTGTCTCGTTCATAATTCATTCAGTATTAAATTTAAAATCAGATTTAAAATTCAATAAGACATTTGTAACAAACAACAAATATAATGAATATAACAAAGGAATTTCTATATCTATACTTTGTTTTTCAGGTTAGCATCATGTTGTGCTTTGACGGCAGTTGTAACTTGCATGATGGCCACTCTATTGATCATGTTGGCCATTGGTGTTGGCTTGGGTTACAATTACTGCTTCGTTGACATACAGACGGGGAGAAACAAAGAGGGTTAATAGATTGATATTACACAAATTACTTATTAAGTACTAATATAGTTATATGAGTTAGAAGTAGTAAGTGTGAGTATATGTGAGTAAAAAAAAAGGAAGTTGTTATATGTTATATGTGAGGTTTGCATTCCCAAAGAGGGTTGATGTCAGGCAGGCGGCCGGTCGTAAAAACAATTAGCCAAAACTATTCATAACATGTAAGGCAGGACCTGGCTAAAACTGGCAAAATTGCCAGGTAGAACAAGAAGGGAAAGATATGAGAGCAATCTGTTGTATATTGATTATCAATGTAACTGTAAAAATTATTAATTTTATCCATCTGTTTAAATTTTTTTCATGCTTATTACCATGATGGTTTGATTTCATTCCCTAAATATTTCTTTACAGACGAATACCCGATCGTATTCAGTCCTATACATAGTCACGTTACAAGAAATGTTAAAGAAAGCACCATAGAAACGTACACAAAAACAGAAAAACCTACTACAGTAAGCTCGAAGCCGATCGGGCGCACTATGAGAAGTAATTTGGAAAAACTTATAAACTACAACAGTCTTGTAGAGAAAATTAGACGAAAACGAAGGAATGTGACATTGGAATTATATTTTTAAAGCCTTCGTCTTTTAACATAAGTTTTACATTGTCATTTTGATATGTGTTATTTTCATTAAACATCTTATCGTTTATGGGATTATTTTATTTGTGACGTGTTATTGTAAGTGGTTGCTAAATGCTTTAAGCTCATTATAAATGCACTCTGTATGATTATTTTAGTTTTATCACTGAAAATAATTGATAGTTCATTTTACGTGTTAGGGTTTTCTCTTCTTGAACTTCCACCTAAATTTTTCACTAAGTATCATCTTGTCTTTTATTATAGTCCCATTAGAAATGTCAAGTGTCAAGTATATTGTCATAAAACAATCATCATCAGCCTATCAGAACCCACTGCTGAGCAAATGCCACTTCGCACATGGAGCAGGTTTGAGCATCAATCACCACGCTTGCTCAAGACGGGTTGGCGAACACTACTAAT